GGATAAAAATGTTTTGATTTGGTTCAATGTAGAACCACAACAATATGGGATGTATTCACCCTATTTCGTTTAAGGTAATGAAGGACTGGCAGTAGAATTTTCCCACAATGAGGTTTCAATTGAATTTTACATAGCCTTACTTTCCCAAAAGTTTTTCTCATGCAGGGTGGACTGCAGTTTCGACCACGGTTCAACACCCCCAGCGGGAGTCGAACCGTGGCATTATGTGGATAAATAAATGGTTAATACACATGAACACATCATCAAAGGCAAGAGCTAAAGTTCATAAACTGCCTAACCCTGACGGAAAGTACACACTAAACATGTGCAATAATGCTTATATTTTGAGCGTCTGCTATTCTCAATTTATACTCCACCCTAACTTTCCGTTTTTCTCTCTCCTCATGCTTCCTTGTGTGTTGCGAGGTGATACTGGGAGAAAGGACTCCCATAAAATTGGGCTGTCCGGCACCACACTTGGCCGTGAAAACAAGCTGAGGTTCCAGTTGGTTGTCACTTGCCTTCACTACCCTCGCTGTCTGCAGCAGATTTGCATAGCTGCGTTCGAGCGCCTGAGTCCTGGTCACGACATCCTTTACCATGCCACTCAATGGCTCAGGAACCTGAGTCGATCTGATCGCCAGCGCGAGAGCTGAACTCGGCACGGGGGTAGCGTCGACGAATGGAGAGGAGAAGTGAGCCTGGCGATTGCGAGACGCTGGTGCTGCCTAGGGAGGATAAATTTCAGCGCGATTAGTAAATCCGAAAAGGTGAGTCACGATTAATACGAGTTAGAATGGTGCAAAATTCAGTTTAGTATTTGTTATAAATGGTCACCAGGCCGCATACAATACGAGCCGAAATTGAGTTAATTGTGTCCAAGACAATAAAAGACAATTGGGCAAACGCATCATTTATCGTCAGACTATTGCCCTTTATGTACATGTTAATGCTGTACACACCATCTAGTTTTGGGTGTCCAGTAAAGTATATCTAAAAATTATATAGCAGCTCCCTAGTAAAAATAAACAAAAGAAAGAAATGATAAAATTAACATTGGAATATTTAAAAAAAGAAGCGATTTGTGGTTAAGTTAAAGCAAAAATTTGACGTAATAGAAAGATACATAGAATAACCGGGTTTCGATGACTCGCCTAGGATAACACGGTTGGGGAGATTCCATTTCGTATAAAAGTGCATGCGGAAGCAACTCTAAGGCCGAGCTCACCGAAAGACGACTTTTCCCGTTGTACCGCAGTCGTTTGGCTCTAGTACAACGTTCAGGTTGAGGTAGTCCCCAGACAACCTCCCTCGTGTCGCGTGAAAACGGGCTTAGCTTTCGTCCATTATAAGATGGACATCATCAGAGCTGGAACTCATTCTTGTAAAAGTATCACGATAACACTATGTCAAGAAAACTATCTGGCTCTATTATACCTCTTATATTAAATCATAAATAGAAAAATAAAATGTATAGGCATAAATAGATATAGAGTGTTGATTTAGGACCTGTATTGCGTATATACACTCACAGACACACACATTAGAGTAGAAGTAGCATGACCAACATGAAAGATAATTAGCCAAATCCTTTTATATATATATATATAGTTTTCTTTATTAGTGTTAACGTGATACTTTTATAAGAATGTGTTCTAACTCTAATGGTGTCCATCATATGATCGACGAAAACCCGGACCGTTTTTCATCCGAAACGAGGATATGTTGTGCACTGCGTCAAACTGAACGTCGTATTAAAGCCAAACGGCTGCAGTAGAATGGGAATAAGCCATTATCTTATGGTGAGATCGAACTAATTTATTGTTTATCCAACAGTGTAATACTTTTCATATAATAATAGCAATCCTACACTTTTCAGAAATGTTGGAATGCATGAATCAACAGTACGGAATATTTTATAACATGCAGTTGAAATAAAGGGAAAAAAGTTAGGAGACATCAACTTAATGCGGTTTAAAAGTCCGCTATAAGGATGCAATTAGTACAACGATAGATTTGTGTAAGAATGTAAGTAACATTTTAACCAGCAAACAGGACACTTTCATTGCAGCCCTCAGACCAAGCAACAATAGCAGCATTTAAAGCATACTTCTTAAAAAGAACTTTTATACAGGTTATTGCTCAAACAACAGGTTGTGTTTTTAATACTTGTTGCTTATCCCTATTACATTAAAAAAAAGAAGAAAAATTTTTAAATCTTAACTAAACTTTTTCAATGTGGTGGCATAGTACTATTTTTAATAGAACGACATTTTCATGAGGCAAACAGTCTCTATATGCCTTTTGAAGAATGTCTTACTTAATTAATGTTGTTCGACTTTCGATTTCGGGAGAAAATGTGCAAGGGTCAATCACCGTATTAAGAGGTGGTCATGAAGGTTCAATTTCACCTTAAATCTCATGCCTGGTAAAGTAAGCTCTGAGACCTGTCTTTTCTTCCTTTTCACCAATTATTTTAAGCAAATGAAAAGTAAGACAACGTAAATCTATTAAGGGAATCTTGGTAGACTAAATTCCAAAATATTTTAAATTTATTATATTTTGGTTCCTAAA